CTCCCCACGACCCTTCAGTAAGGGGGTGTCCAGTTGCCTGCAGATGGGCTTTGGGTCTCCACTCTGCACTCACCCTCATTTACAATGATATGATTCTGGCAGTCTTATTTTACATGTCTTGACGAATCTTTCACATTTTTAGCATCAAATTGCCATTGATTTAGCTTGTAATGTTCCATTGAAGAACTAATACTAGGAGCAGAATGGTCAGATTTCATGTTTATCTTTTCCTATTTACTTACACTGTTGATATTATATCAATCCTTGCCTCCCATAAAGGTATCCTTTTTAGCCACTGTCTACTTTGTGAAAGCTAGATTTGTTAAGACCAAATCGTGAAATCTGTAAATTTATGTAGCTCAGTGCATGTAAACGTCATTGGGTCACAATTCAGTGAGTGGGTACAGATGTTCCTTCGGCTCCTCGTAAATTCCAAGTAGACTCCAGTATTGGAGTATCTGATACACTGGACTTGACCTTGTCTCTGTCAATTGGCTAAGCTATGTTCAAACGTCAGGAGAAACACTGCTGCCACAGCTTTCCACTCTGTTGGGATTCATTATTGGAGCTTTGGGAAAGTGTCTTGGCTTCCAGGGAGTACCGAAAGAATGTTTATTAAATTGGGGTTTCCGTGTGGAGTAGTATTTATATTGCCTGTTCAATAAAAACATTAATGCTTATTTTTATAGCTTGAGAATTGAAAATTATAGAACAAAGGATACTTGTCTATGTACCTTATGGTGTTTAATAACCCCGTATATATTAATGCCAAGATAAGGATGAGGACTCTTAAGGAGCATGGAAGGAGCCAGGTGATGGCTGGAAATCGGTTGCAGAGAATTCTCAGAATTACGGCAAGTGATTTAGTCAAAGGCTGTCTCAAAGAAAGATTTTTTTTTTCCTTGTGTTGTCTTTTGCTGGTCTCATTATAAATCCTAGTTTTATTTAGAAACAATTAATATAGAGCACAGTCAACCTTGATTCGCTTTAATTGAAACATTTAAAACGTCTTTGACACTAACTAGATAATGAAGACATTAATTAATCTGTTGAACCACAGGTTGCTGTAAGTCAGAACTGACTCAATGGCCCCCAACACAAGGACAACACCTGTATAAGAAGGCTTCAAAAAGTTTGTAGGAGAACTCCATTATCTTTTAATTCGATTTTTTCTATGAACTTTTTGAATGGTCCTGGTATATATTTCCACTACTCGCCTGTCAGACTTTTGGATTGCAGTGGCTTATTTTTTAGTGGAGCTTCCAGACTAACACTAGGAAGAATAACCTGGTGATAATTGACTAGTGAAGACGTTATGAGTAGTAGTAGAATATTGTCTGATACAGTGCTGGAAGGTGATCCCTCAGGTTGGAAGGCATTCAAATACAAAAGGGAAGCGATCTCAAACACTGCCTCCTCAAAAAGGTCGACCTTCATGACGTGGATAGAGCAAAACTTTTGGGACCATCATTTTCTGATGTGACAAGATTCAAACTGAGAAGAAATAGCTGCAAACCTTCATTAACTGGAATGTGGAATGTACAGTGTATGAGAGTAGGAAAATAGTAATCCATTACAAATGAAATGGAAGGTGTAAAGATTGATATACGAGGAATTGATGTGCAAACTAAAATGCACACATATTGGGCATTTTGAACCTAAGGTTGAATGGCAGATTAAAGAATGGCATCACAGTCATCATCCTGAGTAACATTTCAAGATCTGTCCTAAAGTCCAACTTCACTGTGTTAGGATGCTGCCCATATGCTTTACCTGCAAAACCAGTTAGTACACCTCTTATTCGAATATACATACCAACCACTAAGGCCGAAGGTGAAGAAAATAAAGATTTTTATCTACTTTTGCAGTATGAAATTGATCAAGCATAATAGTGGGATGGACTGATAATTACTGATGCTTTTATTGAATTTAAAAACAGTAATTGGAAAATGGCTTTGGTAAAGTAAATGCCAGATATAGCATGATAGAATTTTATAAGATAGATGATTTATTCATTGAAAATATCTTTTTCAATAACACAAATGCCAATTTTACACGTGGCCTTCACCAGCTGGAATACACAGGAATTGGAGCAACTACATCTGTGGAAACAGATGATGGAGAAGATTAATCTCAGAACAAGCCCAGGGGCTGACTCCAGAACAGACCATAAGTTGGTTGTATGCAAATTCAAGTTGAAGTTGAAAAAATAAAAAATTCATGAGAGCCAAAATGTGACCTTGAATTTATTGTACCTGCATTTAGAGACCATCTCAAGGATATATTTGACACACTGAACACTAAGGATCAAAGGACATACTATCTGTGTAAGACATCATATATGAAGAAAGCAAAAGATCATTAAAAAGATAGCAAGGAAAAGACCAAAATAGATGTCAAAAGAGATTCATAAATTTGTTCTTCGATGTGGAATAGTTAAAGTGACTAGAAGAAAAAGAGCTGAGCAGATTTCAAACAGCAGCACAAGGAGACTAAGCCAGAGTAAAGACCTGGAGTCAGAAAACCAAAAGGGAAGAACATGCTTGGCGTTTTTCAAGCTGAAAAGACTGAAGGAAAAATTCAAACCTTCAATTCAAATATCAGAAGATTCCATGTGCAAAATATTGAGTAGCGCAGGAAGAATCTAAAGAAGATGGAACGAATATCAAAGACAAGTGGTTGACATTTATCCATTTTAAGAGATAGCATGTGATCAAGACCTGATGGTCTTGTCTTGAGGGAAAAGTATGTGTTGACTGAAGGCACTGGTAAAAAAATGAGACTCCAAGAATTGATGCGTTACCAATTGAGATGTTTAAAAACATGGATGCAGTGCTGGAAGCACTCACTATCTAGAAGCAATCCATATTTGGACTCATTTCAAAGATAGCTGGTCCTGTAGAATGGAGACATTGAATAATAGTAAATATCAAACACAAGTAAAATTTTGTTGAATTCATAAACAGTTTCAGCATCGCATTGACAGGTAACTGTTAGAAATTCAAGCTGGATTCAGAAAAGGATGTGGGACAAAGGATATCAGTGTTGATGTAGACTGGATCTTGTGTTTCATTGACTAAGCAAAGATATTCTCCTGGGTGGATCAGAACAAATTATGGATAACACTGCGAAGAATGGGAAGTCCGGAACATTAAATTGTGATCATTTGGAACTTGTATACAGAATAGAGGGTCAGTCATTTGAACAGTAGCAGCAGAAACTGTTGGTTTAAAATCAGGAAAAGTGTGCACCTGGGTTGTGTTTTTTTTTACCATCCTTCTTCAATCTGCACGTTGAGTACACACTCTGAGAAGCTAGACGGCACGAAGAAGAACATGACATTAGGATTGGAGGAAGCCTCATACCCACCCGGTGATAGGAAAATGGGAACAACCATGCTTGCTGAAAGCAGAGTATCTTAAAGGACTTACTGAGGAAAATCAAAACTATAGCCTTCAATATGAGAACAAAAGTCATCACAGTTGGACCAATAAGTAATAACATGATCAACCAGATTTTAATTATCAAAGATTTATTTTACTTGAGTCCATATCAGTGCTCGTGGAAGTAACAGTCAAGAAATCAAATGATGTGTTCCTTTGTGCAAGTCTCCTGCAAAAGTCCTCTAAAATGTTAAAGGACAATGGCATCACTTTGAGGACTAAAGTGTGCCTGACAAAAGCCATGGTACTTTTGGTATTTTCTAGAACCTTGTATGCATGCAAAAACTTGACAATAAATAGGGAAGACTGAAACGATTTGATACATTTGAATTACGGTGTTGGAAAAGAATCTTGAATCTGTGCAGGACTGTCAGGAGAATGGACACATCTGGAAAGAAACACACCCTGAATTTTCCTTAGAAGCAGATGTGGTGAAACTTGGACTCGTGTATGTTGAATATGTTATTAGCAGTGTCCAGTTCCTGGGGAAGGATTTCTTGGTAAAGTAGAGGATCAGCGAAAAAGAAGCTCCTTAAGGAAATCGGTTTACAAGCTTGGGCTCACAGAGCAGTGATGGTGACAGTGATATGGGCCGGGCAGGATTTTGTTCGGCTGCACATATTGTTGGGATGCGTGGCTCGTACCGGATGGCACCTAGCAACAGGAGCACACGTATGTGTGCATTTCACATATGTCATTTGAAATGAAACAGAATATTTGGAGGAGTAGGAAGTTTTAGAAATCATGTAGTAAAGTAGTTATGAGACTTGGTAGATGATATGACCTTTGAATCAATATAGTCTTAAATGGATTTCTTATTTGTTTTTAGGCAGCAAGAATTATTGCCAAACTAGCAGCATGGGGAAAAGAATTGATGGAAGGCAGCGATTTAAATTACTATTTCAACTGGATAAAAACTCAGCTGAGTTCACAGGTAAAAGAAATTTCTTGTAGCATCTTTGAAAGTAATGTATCACCCTGTGTTCTTGTAAGCTATTTCTGGTAAATGTAATTAAATTAAATGTTAGAGATTAAAATAATGTCAGTTTGAACTTGATCAAATTTCTCTTAAATTTGCTAGCATGTTTCATCTGTTCTCCCTTTGTTTGGATTAAATTCAAGCTTTTCTGCCTTTTGTGCTTTGGGTACTTTCTGCTCTTGGTTTTCTGTGGCCAGGTAGTGTCTTCCTTCTACATGACTGCCACAATCACACAGATTGGATCATTGAAAAGTACGCACAAAACTTCAAACAGCACCCACTTGTAAGCCTTTTGTTGAAGGCAGAAGAAACTTCTATCAGACGAAAGAGAATGCAGTTCTCAGGGCTGGCATCGGGATCAAGGACCACCAAGCCTTGTGTGAGAAATCCTGGTTTGGGGGGAGCCTCTCGAAGTTTCTAGTGGAGTCTTATTCCCTCTGGTCCTGTAACCAGACCACTAAGTTTATGCACTTACACAAGTAAACACACTGGTTCTGGGTAATGCCAGGGGAGTTTTGAACAGTCAGTTGCCTATCAGGAATCATTACTGAATTCACTTGTGACCGGGAACTGGTCCCAGACTCAAGCATCTTTGGGATCAGACCCATTTTCCAGTGCAATGTAAAATAGCTGTCACTCATAGAGATTAATGCTCAGTGTCTTGATTGAATTATTTTGAGATTGAGCAATTAAGAGCCTAAAGCGATAAATGAAACCTGCTTTTTACTCATAGCCATAGTTGATTTTGGACTTTCGAAGTTCTACTTCTCTGTGGAAAACAATAACTTGGTTGTTTAAAGACTGGTAAAATGGCGAGTTCTCTGTGTTTGTCTTCATGGCTCCATAAAAAACAATCAAACAAATAAAAAACACCCTAAACCAAACTCATTGTCATGAAATAATTTCTGAGTCATAATGAACCTCTGAAGCAGAGTCTAACCGGCCCGTGGGTTTCTGAGACTAAATCTTTATGGGGATAGAAAGCGTCTCCCATGGAACACCTGGTGGTTTTGAACTGCTGACCTCTCAGTTAGCAGCTCAACGTGTAACCATCCAGACCACAAGGGCTCTTTCATGGCTTCCTTGAATGGAACAAAGACAGTGTACTACTTGAGGCTCTGTGGAATGTGCTTTTTTTGTGTGTGTTTATAGTTATTGTTTGTTGGTAGAGGAAAGACATGGTAGGATTGATCCTCAGGAAATGAGTGAAGAAAGGAGGGTAGGACAGAGTATTCTGGGGAAAAAGAGAAAATAAAATTTTGTGGGTTTGGGTGTCATGGGGACGAAATGGAGGCATGGGGCCTGGAGAAATAATATCGTGAATCATTGAGTTGTTAGCATTGAACTACTAATACATATGTACTTGAAATAAAAATTTGAAAAGTTAACTAGATTTTAGGTGGCTTTGTTGTTTGTAATGGATTTTAATTTCAGGCATAAGATAGAAATCCCATGAATTTTGGCTTAGATTTACTTTTGTCTTACTAGTGATTGCCTTTTTTATGTTTCAGTAGGAACTGGGGAAGGATTTCATATTTGGATAGGATATTTCACAGTCTTGAACAAAATTGGGTATTTTTAATGTCGATGCTGCATTTTTGGGATTTAGTTTAAAAGTTATTTTTAGAAGAGCTACAAATTAGCAGAATTTACAAACTTTGTGAGGTATTTTAAAAACAAGATATGTAGAACACAAAAATGGGTGTGTAAAAAGGAAATTTAAAAGTTTTAAAATCATTTAAGTTTGTTTGAGGGAACTCCAAAGAGATCATTTAAAAATGCCATTACTTTTTACTTTATTTTTTCATGAACGTTTGGAAGCCCCTTTGTGTATCTGTGGAACCAGAATGTTGTGATACATCTTCCTCCCCTTTCTACCTCCCTCTTCCTTTTTTTAAAATAATTTTTTGCTGTTTTGGCATTACTTACTTCTCCCTTAAGTAAACTACATTTGACTTTAATGTTAACACCTTGATATATTGTTAAAATGAAGCTCTTTTGTTCACAAAATGAAAATTGGCAGGAAGAAATGTCTTCTCCATATGCCCCTGGGCGTGCTGGGTGATTTCACTTGAAACTTGCCCTCAAAGGGTGACATTTACACCGTCCCTCACAGATGACTCGTCACTTTGAGAATGAACATTGCTGTTGGAACCATGTCCACAGAGGGGGGGCGAAATATTTTTTGTTGCTGTTATTGCATGCAAAGATATCAGTGTTTTGACAGTTACTTCCTGGTCTTGGTTAACTGTTCCTTAAGCGCTCTCTCTGTTTTCACTGTAGTCCTTTGTCATCAGGTCTGCGGCTTTCTGCGTTTGGGCGCGACTTTTCCGCTTTACAAGGTCTTTTGCTTCCAAGGTACTCAGCAGCAGTGGTGGCGCTGCTTTCAGAGTCTGGCCACTGCTTCATCTTGCTTCTTGGCATTACTGCCTCTTACTGTGGGTGGAAACTTCTTCCAAAACATTTAACGAAGATGGAATTATACGCCTCTTATTTAGAAAACACCAAAATATGATTAATTGGGATTTTATTTGTTATTTCCTCACATGTTCCCTGATGATGCTTTACCTGGAAATTCTCTCTTTTTTTTCTTTTCCTCTAAAAGAAGGATCAGTTTTATGATCCTCATAGAAATAAACTGAAAAGCACAAGTGACCTGAAAGTTTTTTCTTGGACGTTTACTGACATTTAGGAGCTCTTATTGGGATACTTTAGAGCCTGAGCTGGGGTTGTGGAGACTAATGATTGGCATGCAGTTGTTAGTATTTATTCAATAAAACAAAATACAAGTTTTCTAAGAGAAATCCAGCTTCACTTTTCTCTTGTACCTTCAGCCTCTGACTTTCTACTTCAAATTTTCTTTGGTTATTTCTGTGCAACATTTGAGACTTTTTCTTTTATAATTGTTAGCATTGCTAGGGGTAGTTTAATTTTAATCCTATAGCATCTGTACCCCCTCATTAGACATCTATTTCAAAAGCCTTGACATAGGTATAAATGTGTAGATCACTAAACAGTTTAACTTAAGACAGTTGTGTTGATGGAAAAATAGTATTCAGTAAATAACTCCTGAGTTGTGACAGTTTATACTTGCTTCATTTATGAAATTTAGGTGGAGCTGGTATTTACTTTTAGTATAGTTCTGATTTTAGTAGCATGTCGATTAAGTATTATGTGAAAGAATATAATGATATAGAACACTACACCATTCCCATGCTGTCGATAAACTCTATAAGGTAGGCTTAGAAAAAAATTGCAAATTAACTACCTTTCCTAAGCTGATAAATTAGGATAAAATTAAAAACAAAACTAAGTAATAAGCTATTTATTTCGTAATAGAAACTGCGTGGTAGCGGTGTCGCTGTTGATATTGGAACAGTCTCTTCAAGTGATGTAAGTATACTCCTTCTTAATTCACTGGCCTCCTAACACTCTGAATTTAATGTATTTGGAGTTACAGACATCTAGAATTTTTAGAGTGGTTACTAGTTCCAAAAATTCAAGTTCATGGATTTGATGTGTGACCTCGGGTGAGGTTAATTGTATTGGAAAACTATAGATGGCCTAGAGTGATCCCGTTTTCTGTTGATAGATCTCTTCCCTGCTGCTCTTTTTTTTTTTCCCCCCAGGCCACTTTATTTCAGGCCTTGGAATCAGAGTAAGGGTCTGAATTCTGTTGTACAACTGGAGTTAGTAATCTTAATGTTACTGTCTTCAGTAAAAAGCAAAAAAACCACAACAAAAACACAGAAAACTTTGTTTGAAACTCGTCTCATATTTGTCTAATAAGAGGTGAACCATGTGCTAAACAGTGGAAATAGTGACAAAATCCGATGGCACCAACATTTTTTGCCTATTCAGTGTTGCTTAGGGCATTATATATTAAAAAATTTTTTTTTTTGTCAATCTCTCCCTATACTTGTAGAGTCAAAAGATTAAAGCTTAAAACTAATCATGCCCCCCTCAAATCCTTTGCTAACCTACAGTTAACCTGCCTCATTTGGAAATAGTTTAATATCCTGTGCTCTAGGAATAACTGAGGTCAAGTAAGGACTGAGAAAAGGAGAGGGGAGTAAAAAAAAAAGAAACATAGTTGAGGGAAATATAGCTTCCTTTGTTGGAAATATCTCTGGGAAACAAAAACATCTTTAGAGGGTAGAACAATTCCATTATCTCTTTAGTTATCTTTTTGTGAGCTTTTTGAAGCTTGCTTTTATTTTCAGTCTCATATTAAAAAATAGTTGAGGGTAGAGGGTTAGCTTCTCCTCGTATTTCGCATTTAATAGGAATATCCTAGAGTGGTAGCTAATATTTATTGAGCATTTTCTCCGTACTCGGGACATTGTTTTTTTACGCGTACATGCCCTTTAGTACTCACGCTCATTCTTGAAGGTGTGTCCCACTCTTAGCCATGCTTTATAGGTGAGCAGAGAGGCTCCACAGAGGCATCCCGTCTTGTCATACAGCTAACGAGAGGCAGAAAGTTAGTGATATGTGACGGCTTTGGAAGTAACTGCATTTTAGTAGGATCTTCAGGATCTCCGAGGCTCACAGCCTCCTCTGACTCTAAAATCGCTGCCATCCCGTTACTTTATTGCTGTCAGATTGATTCCTTAGAAATCTCTTTAGGCTTTCAGAGCAAAGTCAGTAAACTGCATTACATCATATTGCCATTTGATGTCAGTATAAAACAAATAAACAAAAAGCTCTACACTGCAATAGGAAAAAGAAGTATGATTCAGCAGTCTAACCTTTGAAAATGACCACGGTTATTGCTTTGAGTAGATTATTGCAAATTCTTGTACTTTAATAATACTGTATTTTCAATGTTTGCAAAGGGAATTTAAGATGCTTTATAACATTGTCAAGAGAACTTTTCAAAAAATGCTATGTTGTCCTTCCGTGAAAGTGAAATTAATAAACGATGTCCGAGTCTCTGCTGTGATTAGGCACCATCGAGTCCCTTGTGGCTCAGGGACTGTGTGCACCAGAACGAATACCGCCTGGGCCTGCACCATCCTCACAGTTGTTCTTCTATTTTAGCCCATTGTTGGCAGCCACTGTGTCAGTCCATCTTGTCGAGGGTCTTCCTCTTTTTTCTTGCTGCCCCTCTACTTTACCAAGATGAAGTCTTTTTCTAGGGACTGGTCTCTCCTGATAACATATTCAAAGTACACAAGATGAAGTCTTGCCATCCTTGCTTCTGAGAAACATTCCGATGTTCTTCTTCCAAGAGAGATGATTTGTTCTTTTGGCAGACCACGGTATTTTCAGTAGTCTTTACCAGCACCATAATTCAAATGCATCAATTCTTTGGCCTTCTTTATTTGATGCCCAATCAGAGGCTGTACTTAACCTCTTAATGCTCACTCTTCACTGGTTCTAGATGTGCATTGTGACTTCGTGTTTTAGGACGCATAAGCCTAGCCTGGGGAGTTTTGAATGTTGGGTTTATGCACTGACGGACCAGTGCTGCTATCTTTCACAGACTTAGGAGGGGCCAGAAGGAATCTGGAAAGGGTTTTCTTTCTTTTTTCCTTTGCCTCGCTTTATGTACACATGTGGGTAGAAGAGAAAAGTGACTGTTGTAGGTCCAATTTAGTTTAGTTATTGTAGGATGAGCGTTGCTTCTTTGGTAGTAAGTAACCTGGTTACATTGCCAGATTCCCTTTATTACTACTTATCTTGTCTCTTAGTGCTATGGAGCAGTGTTTTCCCTTGGAACGGCCTGTGATGATGGGTTATGTAGCTGCACTATCACATGTGGTAGCCATGAGCCACATGCGACTGTTAAGCACTTGGAAAGGTGGCTAGAGCAAGTGATAATTTAAAATTTTATTTTAAAAAAACATCAAGATACATTTCGCGTACTGTAAAATTCATCTACGTAACAGTTCAGTGTCTTTTAATATATTTATATAGTTCTGCAACCATCACCACAATCTATTTCTTATATTTACTGTAACTCTCAAAGGAACCTTATACACATTAAGGAGTCTTTCCCTGCACACACTGCCCCATCCCAACCACGAATCTACATTCTGTCTCCATAGAGTTTCCTATTGTGTTTATAAAGGGAATTAGACAATAAGTAATCTTTTTGTGACTGACTTCTTTTAATTTAGCAAAATATTTTTAAGATTCATCCATATTGTGGCATATAACAGTATTTTCAAAGAAGAAATGAAACTTGACCTTTATGGCTTTTGACTGTACTCCTTAAATTACTTTCTGTAACAATTTTAATATGCTTGTTGTTAGGGGGCTAGTTTTGTTGCTTTGCCTTGGTAATTTAATACCATGAGAATGTGACACTTCAGTCTTCCATAAGGGATGAGGGAGTAGCTTGATTAAATTCTTTACTACTCTTTTAATAAGTACATCACCCCCCCAAACAAAACAAAACAAAACAAAACAAAACACACCCACAAAACAGACAAAGACCAACTGACAGCCATCAAGTTGATTCCCTCTCATAGTAACCCATAGGGCAGGGTAGGACTGCCCCTGCAAGCTTCTGAGACTGTCACTTTTTATTCTCCCAAGGAGCAGCTGCTGGTTTTGAACTGCTGAACTGATGGTTAGCAGCCCAACACATAACTCATTCCAATACCAGTGCTCCTGTGCTGACTAATAACAGAAATCAGTAGGCCCAATCAGTAGTTCACATGGTTCTGATCTCTCTCTTAACTGCAGTCTGCTCTAGCTTGTGGATGAGACCTGATTCTATGGAACCAAGTTTGTGGGAACCCAGTGTGATTCAGATGAATTGCATGTCTTTTTTGTGCAAGTTTCAAAAGCATGATTATTTACCTAAAGCAAATCTTGGAAAGTCCCCATAATTCCTTTGCTCTTTATCTCCTTATCACAAAATTGATATGCTTAAGACATTGGGAATCATTAAAAAGTATGAACTGGGTGTTAAAAAAAGGACAACCATCTTATACTTAATGTTATGTAAATGTGCCTTCATTTTCAAATTATTGGAACCTTGGTAATGGTCAGGCTATCATCGAGGTTGGCAGTTCCTGTACACCAGCTGCTCTTTGGGAGTAAGATGAGGCTGTCTGCTCCTGTAAAGATGTACAGCCGCAGCCACAGTGACTCCAAACACCAAATTCTTCATCACAATTACCTTCATTTTGAACTTTTAAATCGTTGAAAAGGCTTCCGGCCTTTTCGTACACTGCAGGTCCAGTGAGTTATTTAACGTGGCTCTGCTAGCCGAAGTCTGTAACTCCCTCCAAACAACCTTCCCATGCATGGTTCTTGTTAGAAGGTGGAGGAAGGTACTGCGAGGATTCATCTGTGAGTCATTACAAACAAGATTCCCTGGAATGCCATCCTGTGTATAAAGTGAACCTTCTGAGAAGCAGGAGGAGGGATTTCATTACCAGCAAGAGTCAGGAGTGGAGCTCATCTTCTGGACTGGAGATCTCTGCGTAGGGAACTGCCTATTCCAGATGACAGCTACATCAGAGGAGCAGCCGCAGCAGCAGAGCCAGTAGAACCAGGAGCCAGAGCATGGAACAGAGTGATGGACTTCCAACTCAGAGCAAGTAAAGCCGAGTGCTTTTGTGCAGGAGTCTGGCTTGTAGAATGGGGTGCCTCTGGGTACTTAAGAGGGGAGCTGGGTTTGCTGACCCTTTGAGCTTGAGCTGAATGCCTTTGGGTTTAGTCTGACTGTAGAGTGGTATGGCCCTCTGGGCAATTTTTAGCGGAACAAAAGAATTTTGTTAGCATATTCTGATAAACAACTTAACCCTGAGCACTTCTTAATGGCATTAAAACGTACTTACTTCCTTAATCCCCCTCTCTTTATTTTACTGTTTTATTTTTTCCCAGTGGTTTTATTGGCATATAATTCATGTGTCATACAATTTAATAGTTCTATCACATCAAGAAGTGTTGTTCAGTTATCACCACAATCTGTTTTAGAACATTTCTTCCATCTTGTACTGGGCGTTGTTAGTTCCCTGTTTCTGTCCAACTTCTTTTGCCATACCCCCAAGGAACCTTTAATCCAGTTACTGTCCATATAGATTTACCTATATAGGATTTCATATACAGGAAAACATTAAAAATCAAACAACGACAACCATTAAAAATAACAAAAGTAATGAAACAAAACCTACTTCATTCAGAAAGTAGAAAATATTAAAAACTAGAACAAATTTAAATGCATCATAAGGAAGTTCAAGTGATAAGGTGGTATAGTTTAACCTAACTGCATCTGTGACAATCCACTTCCAGTGCTTTCTGCATATTTGCAAGGCTATTCACATCCCTGGTCCATTGTCAGAGGGGATGTCCCAGAAGTTTACTCATGTGTATGGGAATTCCTCTTCACTAACCTTTTAGTTGTGAATTTTCTCTTTGAGCTCTATGTAGCCATTGCAATGGATATTAGAATCTAGAGAAGTAAAATAGAGAATACTAAGATTACAGTAAGGTTAAATAAGAACTGTATTCACCTGTTCTAATAAACTAATCTGTACTTAAAAACTCGGTTTACAGACATTTAGCAATGGATCTTGTTTGTAATCTGGGGATTGCCTGTAATTTATAGTGAGAGAGTACTGTTAATGTTATCACTAACATTGTTTATGTCTTTATAATGCCTAAACGGAAGCTACAACTAACAAAGAATCTAAATTGGAACTATGTCGTGTATTTAACATAACATGGTGAGTGGACACAGGAGAAGACTACTTGAAGTGCTGAACAAAGTGATTTTGCCCTGAGAAATGCTGAGGGGCAATGCAAGAGGAGAGTGCCCTCATTTGCTTTTGGTCTGCTTACCTAGACATGTTGTTCAGGCTTTTGCTCCTAACAAGCAGTGTGAATTCTTCTACAAAGGGTTACTACCCACTGACTAATTAGAAAAATATCATTTTTTCCATCACGGAAGATGTTTATAAAGCTGAAAATACACATTTTTTATCATTAATTTCTGTTAATGTTTAGTTTTCAGTCAAAGAATATTACTGGCTATATTGTGCATTTGTAGAATGATTTTCACGACTTTCTAGAAAAAAATTTAAGCTACCCTTTACTTGTTGACTGGACTATTGACACTAAGTGTACTTATGTTGTACTTTTAAAATGAGGGACTAGAATTTCATTGAAGTTTCTGAGAATCTAGAGACGTTTAGATCAGAAAAGTTTAGTAACAATGTACATTAAGTTTTGTGAATTACATGGCATTCGTAATTCTTTATATAATTTTGTAAATGTAGTTTCTGCCATTTTTTTGGTCTCTCTACTGCTTATCAATATACGGCTCATTAAAAATGTTTAGGGGCTTGCCCAGGCCAGAGCATCTTACTTGCTTCGACAATGAAGGAACCTGCAACTTCTTGGTGGTGTATTTCAAGTTTCAGATATTAATTTCAATTTCTATAAGATGGTATCTACGGTGTTTTTCACTCCTAGGCATTCTTCTTCAAAGATTTAATTAGACTTCTTTATATGCCTTATTATGTGTTTTTTTAAGCTTACAATTTATTGAGTTTCTGTGATTTGCCTTGCTGTATGCTAAATGTACTATTTCACATATTTCTCACAGTACCTGTTCAAGGTGCATCTGTATTAAAGGTGAAGGAACTGAGTGTTGAAGAGGTTCTGTAATCTGCTTGACGTTTTTAAAATATAGGCATGTCTCAAAACATACACATTCCTGTTATGTTTGTTGATGTGTCTATAATGATAAATAGTGCCTTATTCAAGGGCAAATGAACCACTGTGAGGCAATATACTTATCAGACCATGTCAAAGACAATATTTTGTTCATCGATTTTTCTAGCTATGTGTTAAATCATCTTGAATTGTTTGGGCTTAATTTGAGAGGCACAATTATTTTAATATCTGAGAGGTAGAGATAAAAGCAGACATGAGGATTAACTTTTGAAAAGATACTGAGGAATTCTCTGCTGCCAGCAAGCCTAGTAAGACAAACACGTGAAATAAAAATATCTGCACACAATCTCATGACTTTAAATACCTTCCAATTTGAAATCCTTGCCCTTTTTCTTGTGCAGAGTTCTCAGTACGTGCAGTGTGTTGCTGGGTGTCTTCAACTGATGCTTCGAGTCAATGAGTACCGCTTTGCCTGGGTTGAAGCAGATGGGGTGAACTGGTGAGTGCCCTGTACTTTTAAGGTGAATAACTTTTTAAAGCATCTTTTCTGAGATTTTCAAAGTAATCAGTACAATTGATCATTTAAAGGAAGTGTTTTAAAAGATATATTTTAATATCTGCTTAGCAATGTTAACATTTAAAAAATCATAACTGTTAAACTATTTCCCATTTGATCTGTTCCATTATAATTTTTATGTCTTAAAAAAAAAGACTAAAATTTCAACTCATGGTTACCCTCTTGTTTGCTGTGCTCTGTAGCAGTATTTCCCAAGTGGGTGATACTGCCCCTTGAGGGGTGCTGGAATGATGCTTGGAGTCTGCCCCAGCAGATACCCTGGATTACTGTCTAGAGTACAAACATGTTTGCTTGCGAGGGTGGTGCTGATTGTGTGTGTGAATGCGGGGTGTTAGACAAAAGACGGGTGGAAACCTGGGCTTTATAGGGTTTTCAGTAGCTTGTCTCTCAGAAGTAGATATCCGTGTCTTTTATTTCCAAGCCACCTCTGGGTAGATTCACACTTCCCCCCTCCCTGTTAGCAGCCAAAATATTAACCATTTTTGCTACTTTCCAAAGGTTTAGGTCTCCTGAAGACCCACACTTAAAAAATTGCAGATATTCAGAATGCAAAAACCTAGTTACAAAAGTACCATGTGGCAAATGCAGGCACCCCACCCCCCAAACAACAGCAACAACAACAAACAACAAGAAAATGTCTTCCTCAGAAAAAGTATATAAACCATTCCTTATAATGCCATGTATTTTTATTGTTGTCAGGTGCCATCAAGTTGGTTCTAACACTCCATGCTCAACAGAGAAAATACTGCCTGGTCCTGCCCCAAACTCACAGCTCTTTCAATCCTTGAGCCCCTTGAGCCACAGGGTCAATTCATCTTATAAGGGTCTTCCTGTCCCTCTATGTTACCAAGCATGATGTCCTTCTCCAGGGACTGGTCTCTCCTGACAAGATGTCCAGATTATGTGAGACGAAGTTTTGTCATCCTTGCCTCCAATGAGCATTCTGGCTGTACTTCCTCCAAGACAGATGTTTGTCCTTTTCAGCAGTACATGATCCTTTAAGTATTCCTCACCAGTACTACAATGCAAATATATCTGTTCTTCTTGGGTCTTTCTTACTCAATGTCTGACTTTCATAGGCAATTAAAAATTGCATGGCTTGGGTCAGGTACACTTTAGTTCTCACAGTAAAATTCTTGCTTTTCAACACTGAAGAGGTCTTGTGCAGCAGATTTACACAAGGCAGTGTGTCTTTTGATCTCTTGACTGCTGTTTCTGTGAGCATTGCTAGTGGATCAAAGTAAGCCAACTTCAAACTTTATTCTTTTGATCATGATGTGACTGACCTACTGGTACAGGTATGAGAATTTTTGCTTCCTTCAAATTGAGTTGGAATTCATATTGAAGGCTGCAATTGTTACATATTTATCAGCAAGTGCCTCAAGTTCACTTTCAGCAAGCAAGTTCACTTTCAGCAAGCAAGTTCACTTTCAGCAAGCAAGGTTTCACTGTCATCAGCATGTCTCAGGTTGTTAATAAGTTTTCCTCCAATCCTGATGCCATATTCTTCTTCATATATCACCATCTTCTGATGATTTGCTCAGCATACAGATTGAATAAGTATGGTAAGAAGATACAACCCTGATGCATACCTTTCTAATTTTGAATCATGCAGTATTCCCTTGTTCTGTTTGAACAACTGCCTCTTGATTCAAGTTCTTCCTGAGCAGAATACACTTTCAGAATTCTCATTCCTCTTAAGCCTATCCATAGTTTGTTAACAATATAGTCAATGCCTTAGCATAGTCAGTAAACTGCAAGTAAACATCTTTCTAGTATTCTCTGCTTTCAGCCAAGATCCATCTGATACAGCAATGATGTCCCTTGTTTCATGTTCTCTTCTGAATCCTGCCTGAACCTCTGGCAGCTGCTTGTCAGTATACTGCTGTAACTGTTGTCAAATGATTTTCTGCACAATTTTACTTACATGTAATACCAGTGATACTGTTCTATAATTTTAATTTTTTGTTGGGTCATGTTTCTTGGTAATGGGTACAAATATGGATCTCTTCCAATCAGATGGCCAAGCTTAATCTTCCAAATTTCTTGGCATAGACATATAAGTGCTTCCAGTGTATTATCAGCCTGTTGGAACATTTCTTTTGTTATTCCATCAATACATGGAGCCCTGTTTTTGACTAATGCATTCAGTGAAGCTTGAACTTCTTCCTTCAGCACCATTGGCTCTTGCTCATCTGCTCCCTCCTGAAATGGTTGAGTGTCGACCAGTTCTTTTTAGTGCAGTGACTGTGTGTATCTTCCATCTTCTTTTGATGGTCCCTGCATCATTCAATATTTTGCCCTCAGAGTCTTTGAATATTAAAACTTGAGTTTTGAATTTTTTCTTGGGTTCTTTCAGTTTAAGATGTACTGATTGTGATTTTCCTTTTTAGTTTTCTAATTCCAGGTTTGTGCCCATGTCCTTGCAACTTTGACTTTGTCCTCTCAACCTGTCCTTTGACATTTTCTGTTTGACTTCATCATTTTTCCTTTTGCCTTAGCTACTTTATAATTAAGAGCAAGTTTCAGTCTCTTCTGACATCCACCTTGATCTTTTTTTCCTTTTCTGTTTTTTTACTGACCTTTTGCTTTCTTCCTGAATGATGTTCTTGATGTCCTTCTACAGCTCATCAGGTTTTCTGTCACGAGTTCAATGCAGCAAATGTGTTCTTGAGATGTTCTGGAAATTCAGGTAGGATAGAATTAAGTTCATATTTTGGCTTTCGTGGACTTGTTTTAAATTTCATCAGTTTCAACCTGAACTTACATATGAACAATTGGTTTGCTGTCCACAGTGGGCCCCTGCCTGGGTTTTAGCTGCTGATTTTGAGCTTCTCCATGTGTCTTCCCACAAATATAGTCAGTTTGATTTCTGTGTATTCCATCTGGAGATGTCCATGTGTACTGTCAACTTTTGTTTGTTGCAAGGAAGTATTTGCGATGAAGTCGTTTGTCTTTTATGTCATGCAATCTCCAGCTTCATTTCTATCATGAAGACCCTATTTTCCAACTGCTGTTCCTTCCTCTTTGTTTCCAACGTTTGCATTCCAATTTCACAATTATCAGTGCATCTTGATTGCATATCTGATCTATTTCAAAATGAAGACATTGGTAAAAGCCGTTAGTTTCTGCATCACCAGCTTTACTGGTTGGTGCATAAGGTTGACTTGTAGTTGTATTGATTGGATTTCCTTGTAGAAGGATAGGTATAATCCTATTACAGACAGCATTGTACTTCGAAATAGATCTTGAAATGCACTTTCTGACAGCGGATCAGTGGCACTCCTCTAAGTTGTGCCATTCCCGCCATAATAAACCGCATGCGATTTTCTGACCCCAAATGGCCAGTGCCAGTCCATTCCAGCTCACAACACTTAAGATATGGAGCTTTATGGTTCCATTTCACTTTTGATGACTTCCAATTTTTCTAGGTTCATACTGTGTATATCCCAAGTTGATGACCAGTCGGCTTTTGCAGCTCTTTCTTCTTACCTCGAGTTGTGCCCCATCACAAATGACGCTCCCGGAGGCGCATTGTGACAGCCACTGTCTCAACACGTTTCACTGAGAGTTTTCCCCTTGCTGACTCACCCCTCACTGACCCCTTTCTCTACCAGTCATGATCTCCTCCTTCTTTGGGGCTGTATTCTCTTGATAACATGTCCACGGTACCTGAGATATGAAGTTTCTTTATCATTTATTGTAATGAGCATTTTGGTTGTGTGCACGGCTATGATTTATTACAGAGACATAGTAAGATTTCTCGGCCAGAACATATGGAAAGTAACACAGACAGAGCCTGGACAGAGCCTTGGACAGCCTTCCTTTTGGGTTCACTAAGAGGATAGATACTCTTCTCTCAGTAATGAAAATGGAACAACATGTGCGGTGTCCCTACTCAGAGAAGCCCAATTAAAGACCTAGATACCAAGGTTTTTACTGGGGACTGGTGGTGGAGGCATCTTCTTGGGAACATAGAACAAAATTACAGACTACCAGAAGAAAGCATGTGTTAATCATAAACCATATTGCTTGTACGAACTGCCTTTGTGCAGTGAACCACCCTCATTATTTAGGGAAAGTTTTATAGCAGGGCAGGAAACTTTACCAGCCGGGTTCCCAGAAGCCAGTTAGTCAGGGCTTTCTAGATCTCAGGCATATTATATTAACTCTTGTTCTGCACAGAAATCTAAAAATAGGCTATAAAGATGGCATTTACAGTCTATCTTCCTAAAAAATAATTCAATATTTTGGGCAGCACAGTATGATGATTTACTGCCATTAAGTCAGTTTTGATTCAT